CAGGGAGAGACCCAAGATGGCGCTGAAGAGGCTGAAACACAGCAGCACACTGAATCTGCAACGGACACTCCTATCACACAGGAGATGATGCGGGCAATGTTAGATGAGATGTCTGCAAGGATAGAAAACAGCTTTAAAGCCACAATTGGGGCACTACATAAAGACCTAAGAGAATTGGAGGTGAGAACTGCTGGGACAGAATCCCAAATGGCAGAGCTACACGTGGCCCATAGAGAAATGGAGGAGGGGCTGACAGGGCTACAAGACCAAATGCAGAGGTACGAGACGAAGCTTGCGGACATTGAAGACAGGGCACGCCGCAATAACCTGCGCATACGTGGGGTGAGTGAGGAGGTGGGACCCACGGAACTGGCGGCCTACTTGACGACCCTGCTAAAAATGCTAGCGCCTGACGTACCACATGACATGCTGCTCATGGACAGGTTCCATCGGACCGCTAAGCCCAGCTTTCTCCCTCGGGACACCCAAGAGATATTCTTATCAAAATGCACTACTACCATGTGAAAGAACTGGTGCTTCAGGCAAGCCGCCAGAAGAAAACACTCCCAGATCCATATGACGGGCTGCTGCTATTTGCAGACATATCGACATTCACGTTGAAACGTAGGAGAGAATTCAGAGGTGTCACAGAACAGCTCCGGCTCCACAAGCTGCCATACCGCTGGGGTTACCCAGTGAAAATACTGGTGTCCAGAGAAGGGAAAGTGTCAGCTATCAACACGCCAGAAGAAGGAGCAATATTACTCCAAAGATGGGGACTCCCCAAGCCAAGCCAACAACACAGCCCACAGAGGACCCGCGGATCCTCCAAAGACTGGAGAAACTCCAAAAGACCGACATGAAAGACGTCACCGCAACTACGGCATCCCTGCGAGCTCTTCCACAGTGACTATTGAGAGACTGGTCCTGATAAATAGACCATGGAGTCAACCAGGGGTATTGTATTAGCCATGTCTAATGTTTTGCCACAGTTTAATATATGTTTGTACAGGTATAGACTGCACAATTCTTAGTGGCTCCCTACAGGGGCATTACTACACGGCTACAAGCCAAAAAAAAAAAGCACTCAGTAAGCTATAGAGTGGGTTGCACCGGAGACTACCCCCCCCACAGGAAGGAAGCTACCACTTCCGCCTCCACAGGTACAGAGAGTACCTAAGCCGAAAATGGCACACCAATCTGTTATACACCTGTTTCATATGTTTTCCCAGTTATCACTTTATTTCCCTTCCCACCCCGGTCTAGCTGGGACCAGGCGATTCACACCCTCTACCCAGTACCCACAGGGAATCCACACCGCTGGCCAAGCTCACCAGCCCCTAATTCCTACAAGGGTACCCATGACAGCCCCACCTCCTTTCACTCGACAAGGGAGATATGCCCGAACCCAACCCTCAACCAGGGGAAGGTCGCTCGTTTCGATGCTGCTGGGGCGAGCAAACCCCCCATACCCACTCTTGCACAATTCTGCAACCCTTACCAAATCCGTTGGGTATAGACCTCCATGAAAAATTTTTCTCTGAATGTACGAGGGTTAAACCTACCGGTTAAGAGACACCAACTATATAGAGAACTCAGGGAAACGGATGCGGACGTCATCTGTCTCCAAGAGACTCATTACAGAACTGACAATTTTATCCCGCCAACAGTTACTGACTACCCACACCAATACCACGCAACATCCCCCACGAAATCTAAAGGGACGTCTATACTGATCTCTAAGCGGGTGGCATTTACCATGCTCTCCACAGAGACGGATACTAATGGTAGATACGTAATCTTGAAATGCACCATTAATAACATGACATATACAATTACTAACCTATACTCACCCAATACACTGCAAGGCACGTTCCTACGACAAATACTACGGAAACTAGAATCGACACGGGAAGGGGTGTCCATTATTTGTGGAGACTTTAACCATGTCTGGGACCCAAAACTAGACACGAATATTTCAAAACACAGTCCAAGGTACAAAATACTCCACAGACAGTGTAAAAAGCTACAGAAACTCCTCTCCCTCCACCATTACTATGATACCTGGAGAATATCTCACACCTCGGAGCGGGCGTATACACATTTCTCCCATGTACATAATACATACTCAAGGATAGACGGGTTTCTCATTCAGGGACAAGGACTTAACCAAATCACAGACTGTGACATAGGACAGATTACGTGGTCAGACCATGCACCGATTACGCTGTCGGTGAAGGACCAATATGACTATAAGCACCGAAGCCCGTGGCGGCTGAATGTCTCCTTGTTGAACGACTTGACATTCACGAAAGAGGTAGAGGAGACTTTGTTAAATTACTTTAGAGAGAACGATACCCCAGGAATGTCCCAGGGCACACTGTGGGCCGCACACAAATCGGTAATTAGGGGTATTTTTATTAGAAGGGCGGCATACCTACATAAAAAATCCTCAGCCCAGACTGCTGAATGGCAGAGAGAACTGTACCAACTAAACACACGCAACCAAATCTCCCCATCTACGGAGCTTAAAATACAAATATCCACTATTACTCGCAAATTACACCAAAAGGCGATAGAACAGACAGGATACAGGCTCCAGAGATTGAAAATGACACAATACACACAGGGGAACAAAGCTAGTAGACTATTGGCAAGGAGATTACAAGAACGTAGGGCGAACCAAAAAATCGCTTTCCTTATGTCCCGTACAGGTGAGAAGAAAGTTATTCCTATAGACATTTGCAACGAATTTGCCAGCTACTACGCAGACCTGTACAACATATACAAGCATGACACCACATTTCAGCCCACGAAGGAACACATCAATGCGTACCTAGATACAGTAGACCTCCCGAAACTCACGACCCAACAAGCGACTGATCTCATTAAACCCATCACAGGGGACGAAATCCAGACTGTCATAAAAAACCTACCAAAAGGCAAAGCCCCAGGCCCAGACGGACTAGATAACACCTACTATAAAAAATTCAGTCAAACACTGATACCTCACCTAGTGCACGCTTTCACAGAGGCGACAGACACACAGAAACTACCGCAAGACTCACTACTGGCCCATATTATTACGTTACAAAAACCAGGGAAGTCACCCACCATCCCCCAAAATTTCAGGCCCATCTCCCTGCTCAATACGGATGCGAAAATCTTCGCCAAGCTATTTGCGATGAGACTGAGCGCCCTACTCCCCCAAATAATCCACACAGACCAGGTAGGATTTGTGTCAGGGAGACAGGGAGCAGATAACACGCGCAAGGTATTGAACATACTGCATAGCCTACCCAGACTATACAAAGGGGGAGGAGTTATCATCTCCCTAGACGCCGAAAAGGCATTCGACCGCCTGCACTGGACATTCCTAGAGGCAGTCATGACAAAATTCGGTGTGCCAGGAGAATTCAGGGCAGCAGTCAAAGCGTTATATAGCGCCCCGAGGGCACAAGTGCTCAACGCGGGCTTCCTATCCAACCCGTTTAGCATCTCGAATGGCACGAGGCAGGGATGCCCCTTGTCCCCCCTGCTGTATGTTCTAGCTTTAGAGCCATTAGCATCAAAGATTAGGAACCATAGTTCCATACATGGAGTGCGCATAGGGGACAAGGAATACAAAGCCAATATGTTTGCGGACGACGTGCTCCTGACTTTAACGCAACCACTGATTTCAATGCCACACCTACTGACAGCGATAAAAGAATACGGAGACAGTTCGTACTATAAATTAAATGTGTCCAAAACACAGGCCATGGGAATTGGGATACCTGAGAGCACACTACAGGAGTTGCAGGGGAAGTTTGTGATGGACTGGAGGACGGAAAGTGTTTCCTTCCTCGGAATTAAGTTAACTAAGACAATAGGGGGACTGTTCAAGGCCAATTACGAAGCCCTACAAAAAGAGATGGAAGCTAGTTTGGTCTCTTGGAAAGACAAATACATCTCCTGGGTGGGGAGGATGGCAGCTTTTAAAATGTCCATTCTCCCTAAACTACAGTACCTTTTTAGAACGCTGCAAATAGCTCTTCCAACCTCCTACTTAAACAAAACACAGTCAATGCTCACAAAGTTTGTATGGGCACACAAACGAGTGAGGATAGCGGCCAAATACCTACACAGACCGGTTCACCAAGGGGGTCTAGCCTTACCAAATATTAAACTTTATTATCAGGCAACATTACTAGCCCCAGTGTTAGGGATACAACTACCAGCCCCTATTCCACAATGGTTAGAAATCGAAGACCACTGGCTTCAAGGGACAGACCTCCGCAGATTGCTGTGGGTACCTAAACTAATGCGCCCCACCCAACCCCATATCTTACCCACCACAAAGGCATTACTGATGACATGGGACAAAACACATCAGACGTTGACCTCTATGACTCCGTGGTCACCGGCAACACCATTGCCCTGCCTTCATGTAGCGAACAACACATTTGACTATAGGGAATGGACAAAGAGAGGCTGCACGCATGTGAGGGACCTCCTAGAGGCACAAAAGGTGCTACCGTTCCCGGACATACAGAAAAAATTCAACCTCCCCCCAAATTGATATTTCCATACCTTCAGTTAAAATCTATGCTGGGGACACAAGCAACCACAGGAGAGGGGAAAAACTCGCTCACGGAGTTTGAAAGTCTCTGTCTAAACACTAAGCTAAAGAGGGGAACGATATCTAAGTGCTACTCACTACTAAACCTAGGCGACCCAGTACATTTAGACAGATTCAGTGAAGCCTGGCAGGCAGACCTGGGGAAACAGTTTGATGCAACTCAATGGAAAAACGCGACCACAGCACATAAAGGAAAGACATCATGCGCATCACACCTAGAGTTAATGCGAAAGATACACTACAGGTGGTACATGGTGCCGGTGCGACTGGCAAAAATTTACCCAGGAACATCAGCCAAGTGCTGGAGATGTGGGGGTGCAGATGGCACGATGTACCACATCTGGTGGTCTTGTGAGGTACTACGACCCTATTGGGGGATGGTAGAAAACATGCTAAATGAGACGATAGATGTCAGTACTACACTCGCCCCAGAAACAGGCTTATTGTTCATGCATATGTCCAGATTCCGGGGAAGTGAGGCAATCTTAGTTTTCCACACCATAATAGCGGCACTAACGCTAATAGCCAGAGAATGGAAGACAGACTCCGCACCGACGAAACAAGCCCTAAAAAGGCAGATTACCATCAACCTACAATATGAACTAGTGGCCAGGAAAAATGTAGGCAATGCACACAGGTTTGAGGAAGCAAAAAATAGGTGGGAAGAAGTAAACAGGTCCGGGGAGATTAGGAATGGAGTCTGACCCTAGTGTCATGAGAAGTAGGAGAATACTCCGACTCTATAAAATCCCTCAGCCAGGCCAAGCGCCAGTACAAGGTCAGCAGTAAGAGACCCCATGCGACCAAGGGAAATCCAGAGGAAGGGACCCCTTGGGGACGAAAGGTGATAGATAGGAATCACGGGACAAATGGGTGAATCGAGAGTTTAAATCACAAACAGTGGATGAACAGCAAAGTACCGGTAGGAGAAAACGGGCATGTTAAATCCATTTCCCCCCCCCCTTCCCATCCCCTCCTCCAGCTGGTTTCTTCCCCCCCCCCACCCATTTAGGAACAGTAACACGAAACGAGAGAATGCATCCATCTAGTGCAGGGGTGACACTAAGGAGGAGCCAAGGCAAAGCAGACTAGCAGAGGAAGACAGATGCAGGTCCCAGAATGTGGGCTGGCGAGTGAGGAGAAAGTAGATAATGGATAATTATGCCCCAGTGGAACAGTGCAAAATGTAAAATGTATCATGTAAAGTTGGATGGCATGTCACTCGAGAATATGATATATGATGTTCCTACCCCCCTCCCTCTCTTTATTCTGTATCCCAAGTTTGCATTGAAGAAAAAGGAAAATAAAAATTGTCAAATTGAAAAAAAAAAAGTGAAATATACTTTTGAATGGGTAAAAACTTTTTTTGTTTATTTGGGTATAAGGATTTCTAGTAACCCCGCTAAGATTCTAGGATATAATGTTATGCCTTTAATGATGCAAATTAATAAACAATTGAAAGATATGAGAACAGCAGAGATATCATGGACAGGTAGAATCAATGTTGTAAAGGCCTATTTGATCCCTAAATGGAGCTATATATTCCGTATGATACCAATGAAAATGCCTAAACCATGGCTCCTGATGATCCAATCAGCATTAGATAAATATATATGGATGGGGAAAAAACCTAGGGTTAGTAAAAAAATCTTGAACCTAAAACCTAAACTAGGAGGGATGGGAGTTCCCAATATTATAGATATTTATGAATCTTGCTCATTGGCACATATTATTTCATCTATGAAAGAGAGCTATAGGGGAGAATCATGGGCAAAGATTGAAGCTAAAAGAGCAGAAATTCCAGATTTAATGGCTTTATTTTGGAATATATACAAAGGGGAGAGAGATGATATGGGCCTAATTCTAGATAACTTATTGGTTCAATGGAGAATCTGGAAAAAAAGACTTAAAATTACAGATAAAATTATTATTGACCTACCTATGCAGGTTTTGTCCATTAATATTAAGGATCTTAATCTTGAGCCATGGTTAAATAAAGGCATTAATAGAATAAATCAGTTATTTCAACAACAACAGATTAGACCTTTTGAAGAGATTAAACAGGCCTTTTCTCTTTCCTATAGAGAAAATTTTACGTACTTAAGGATAAAATACTTCTTAATGAGACATAGAATAGTGGAGATCTCTGAGGAATTACAGATGTTTATAAATTTATTAAATATCACACATAGTAAAAATTTAGTCTCTAAATGCTCCAATATCTGTAGTAAGTATAAGCCACTCCCGGAATTTCTAGCTAAAAAAGCTTGGGAAAAAGATATACAAATTAGCATTATGAGAAGTGAATGGCTTAAGGCTAATAATGCAGTAATGAAAGCTTCACATTGCTTAAATCTATCGGAAAGTCACTATAAGGTTATCAACAGATGGCATTATGTACCAGCTAAATTAGCAAAAATATATCCAGGTAACCAATATCATTGCTGGCGTTGTGCTTCCCTTATAGCAGACTATGTGCATATATGGTGGTCATGTCCGATTATAGTTCAATTATGGCAAAAGGTAGCGAAATTCTGTAGGGAAGAAATAGAAGTGGATCTTGATTTTACTTGTAGTTCTATGATATTACATATGGGATGGCCCACAATTCCGAAGGATAAAAAAGAAATAATTATCCACATTCTTGTAGAAACTAAAGCTACTCTCGCAAGATTTTGGAAAATCTCAGATTCCCCGTCATGGGAGATGATAAAACATCAGGTCTTGAATAATTGTAAAATGGAAATAGGGATATTGAGACAAAATAATTATTACAATCCACGAATTGAACAATGGCAGAAATGGATTGTGAAATTAGGAAGAAGTAATGTGACTTAATATATACTAAGGTTTTTACGTCTTCGAATTGTAGATAGGGTAGTGGTTCCTGTGCATAAATTTCTAAATTAGCCATGGGTTTACGGAGCCTGATTGGTAGAAAAAAATATTTGTCAAAGATTATGGTTCTAGGTTCCTAGGAGCAATATGCGACTAACTCTCGGCAAAGGGCAGCTTTTTTTTTTTTTTCTTTTTTTTTTTATATAATATATAAGGGGAGAAGGTAAAGGAAGGAACGAGGGAAGAGGTGAAGAAAGAGAAGGGGAAGGAGTAAGAAAAGAGATAGAACAAAAGGTGGACAAAGCCTCTTTGGATTTATTGTAAATCTCTTTCTGCATTCAAGGTGACTGAACTGTAATGATTTTATATATTAATTTTTTTTTTTTTTTTATGTTTATTGTCTAATGTCTGATTGTTTATTGTTGTAACAATGTATGTGAATCCTTTTTTGTTTGTAAAAAGAGAGAAAAAAGAGAAAAGGAAATATTATAAAAGAAAAAAGTAAGAGAATGAAAGAAAGAAAAACTTTTTCAATAAAGATTAAATATATAAAAAAGAAATACCTTTCTGTGGGTTAACCCCTTAAGGACACAACTTCTAAATTAAAGGGAATCATGACGGCATATTTCCGTCATGTGTCCTTAAGGGGTTATAAATTGTCAATAAAGGTTTATGGTCCGTAAGCAGTGTGAAGGGTCGACCATATATATATAAAGATGGAATTTCTTTACTGCCCATACTATTGCCAGAGCCTCTTTATCTATTTGAGAATAGTTTTTTCTGCAGCTGTGAGCTGGCCACTGGCCTGTCTGTACCATCAGCCATGGAATGAGATAGGACTGCTCTCATTCCATAAGGTGATGCATCACAAGCAATGGAAACAGGCTTTTCCAAGTCGTAGTGTACTAAAAGACGTGAATTACGCACTAGTTCTTTTGACTTATGGAAAGCTGAAGCACATTCTACTGTCCAGCGCCATTGTCGTTTACTCTCTAGAAGACGATGTAAAGGGTACAGTGCATGAGCTAAATTTGGCAAAAAATGGTTGCAATAATTTAACAGACCAATATAGGACCTTAATTGTGTCACATTTTGTGGAGTTGGAGCATCTTGTAATGCCTTGACCTTCTCATCTGTTGTATGCAGCCCATGTTTGTCAATTACATGAGCACAAAATTCAAGACGATCCTGCATGAATTGGCATTTATCCAAATTTACTTTCAATCCATATTCCATAAGTCTTTGCAAAACTGCCTCTACATTCTGTTTATGTTCCTCCTCTGATTTACCCATCACCAGCATGTCATCTAACAGGCACTGTGTCCCAGGAATTCCAGCTTGTCCATTGTTTGCTGCCAGACAGCTGGTGCAGGTGAAATGGCAAAAAACATACGGTTATACCTGAATAGCCCCCGATGGGTATTAATCGTAAGTAGTGGTCGAGAATCTGGATGTACAGATAACTGAAGGTATGCATTTTTCAAGTCAATTTTGGTGAATTGCTGGCCACCTGCCAATGATGCAAAAATATCACCTACCCTAGGAAGGGGATACTTATCTATTTTAAGCTGTGTGTTAAGAGCCATGTGGAAATCCCCACAAATCTGTATCTCCCCATTTTGTTTTCTCACAGGAACAATGGGCGAAGCCCACTCACTATTGTGAACCCGGGAGATGATATTCAGCTCCTCTAATCTCCTCAATTCTGCCTCCACTCCAGCCCTTAGAGCAAAAGGCACAATTCTTGCTTTAAAAAATGTCAGTATTGCTCCTTCGTTTAATTATAAGGAAACTTGTTGTCCCTTTACACTCCCTAATTGGCCATCAAACACTGGTGCATACTTTTCCTGTAATTCACTAATCCAGTCAAGTCTGGTCTAATTTTCATTCAACACTTGACATGGATACTTATGCACTTGAGGCATCCCGAGAGCCCTTATCCACTCCCTACCAAAAAGTGGAGGTCCTCCATTCTCTAAGATATAGAGAGGTAGTTTCTTCTTACACTTGTTAAATGTAACTGTGACTGTCACACAACCTACTGGTATTAATAGCTCTTTAGAATATGTCTGCAGTCTCGCTGTTTTCTGAATTATTGGCCTATGTATTTTAAGGCGTTTCCAGTCTGTCAAAGAAATCACTGATACAGCTACACCTGGGTCCAAATCCATAGTCAGTTCCTTTCCATTTACAACAATCTGAACTGTGAATGCAGCCAGATTAGAACCTATTTTATATATTTTTAAATTTCGGACAGGAAATTGTTCATCCGAATCCTCAGAAAACTCCTGCATTTGTACTCTATAGGCATTCTTTGCTCTGTCTCTCAAGCGATTACTGCCTGTCTCTGCTGTGGATTTAGACACTCTTTGTAGGTGGTCCATTTTACCACAAGCATGACACCTGGCATCCTTGAATCTGCAAGTAGTTGCAACATGTGTAGCAGCTCCGCAGCGATAACATTTGTAATGTGAATGTTCCTGTTTTGAAAGTCTCGTTCCCTGTGGTATACTCCATTCTCTAGCATCTAATTTTAAGACGTCTACCTCTGTCTCCTGTGTGTTGTCCAGTCTGATGTGTTAAAGATTAGCATCCTTAGAGGCTTGTTCTATAATGCTTGCCATGTTCATTGTCTTTTTAAATGTTACATTTTCTTCTGTAAGTAGTCTCCGTAGCACTGCATCACTTGCAATGCCCATTACAAACTAGCCTCGCAGAGCAGTGGGCAGGTAGTCCCCAAAACAGCAGGTGCTGGCGAGTTTCCGTAACGCAATGGTATATGATGAAACGGAT